TTTATTGTCTTTTCATTACTGTATCTTAGTATATACTCCAGAACAGTTTCTCAACCTTTTTCTCATTGTGGACTGAAAAAATTGTGGATAATTTTAAGTGAACAAGTATTTAAGCAACTATGAATTATGCTTATATGTGCTTATGTAGCATTACTGTACACACGTACATCTGATTACACTGATCTAGAGTTACATACAATAACTCTAGATCAGTGTTTCTCAAACTTTTTGTTCATGTGATCCAATATCTTTTGTTTGCAATGGTTCCATTACCCAAAATGTTATTCAAAATAGAAAAGAGAAATTAATCTCATACACACATTATATGAGCCGTTTATTTTGAAAGTGGGGCAAGTCCATTTTTGAAAAAAATGGAGATAATGGTAGTTATAGATAAAACTTGTTATGATCTTTTTATGCATAAACAATTTATAGTAAAAAAAAATTCAGATTCTAGTATTTGGGAGATGGAAGTTTTAGCTCTTAACAGTATTGAAAATATGTTTATTTTGAAAGTGGTGCAAGTCCATCTTAGATTGAAATTATTTTTGACCGCACATATTACAGCAAAATTTAGCTCCGGTTGCTGTATGGTGAAGCAATGTGGCCGTTTGACATCATGTCTGAAATCTAAGGTGTTTCTGTCTATCTATCTTTGATATTGAAAGTCGGTGGTTGTACAATATTTCATAAATAACAAAAAGTATATTTTAATTTTGTGTTTCGATAATAATAGGTTTACTTCCAACACCGAGAAATATAAGCGGAATATGTATGTATTGAATCAAGGTTTCCACAATTTTCATAATGATGAAGTTAGTGTGTATGTTTGGGATGAAACTATAGCATCCCGAGGAGCACAAGAAGTAGCATCTTGCTGTTTGAAGCACTTACAGACTGTGACAACCCAAAAACACATTATAGCTAGTGACATGTGCACTGGCCAAAATAGAAACATAAAGTTGGCCTTAATGTGGATAAAAATTGTTCAGTCTGGTGACAATGAAATGAATATCATTGATCACAAATTTTTATTTTCAGGACATTCATTTTTACCGAACGATCGTGATTTTCGAGTGGTAGAAATGGCAATCCAGAAAGCCAGTTCCTTGTATATTCCCCGGGATTACTATAAACTAATACGAAATTGTCGAAAACATAATAAATTTTTAGTACATGAAATGAAACGCGAAAATTTTTTTCAACCCAACCTTCGGGGAAAGCAGTTTTAAAAAGAAACAAAAATACCGATGGAGAAACCGTGAATTGGTTAAATATATGCTGAATCAGATTTACAAGGGATGCACCATACAAAATGTTCTACAAAACTTCGATAGAACGAGATGCTGAATTTAAAATTATCGATTTGTCACCACAACAAGGAAGACCAACTAATTTCGGAAATATAAAGTTATCTTTTCTGTATGAAAAAAGGAGATCTATTACATCTGTAAAATACAAGGACATGGTGGATTTATTACCATATATACCTCCCGTTCATCATGAATATTTTAAAATGTTAAATTCTGAATAAAATTCATTTAATTATACCTACGTATAAACTGAAAATTTATAATTTCATTGAAATTCTTAATAAAACTGATTTTTTATGTTATATTTTCTACTAGAATATTCTTTGTTTTGTTTCACTTTTTATCAAATGAATAAATATTTATAAAAATTTGAATAGTATTTTGTTATTATTATTAAAAAAAGGCTGATGCAACTGGAAGAAATTCCCAATTAAATGAACGATTACAATAATTCATTAATTTTGAAAGTGAGGCAAGTCCATTTAGTTATAATGAAACTCTTACTTTTTTTAGTCAGCACTGTAAACACTATTGGATTATAAACTTACATTATCTGGTACCACAAAATATTAAAAATATATCTATTAATACTTACCAATATTTTTAAATTTATTGAAATGCAAACCTTTAAATATCTCGCAATAACAAAAATTGGACTTGCCCCATTTTCAAAATAAACCGCTCATATAATCTTAATTTTATTACTAAGTGACAATAATAACTATAAGAAAAAGTTGTTAAGTTTTCAGTACTTAACAGATGTGTGTATTGTTCTTAGTTCTTAGAGAGTACTTCAGTAATACAAGTGTTACAAGTATTTCTGTGAAAGATGGTATCATTTCATGACTCGTTAAGATTTTAACATGACCCAATATTGGGTTGTGATTCATAGTTTGAGAAACACTGCTCTAGATTACTATTTAAATGTCACCTGTAATTAACTACACTGGTGTCAGTATGGTCAAATATATTTTCCTGTGGATTGGTGAATTTTTTCAGACTGACAATTGAAAAACACTGCTCTAGAACATTATGATGATGATTCTGATCATACATTCCTATGTGAATATAGTTTTTTTTTCATTTTGTACTCTGCCTCCCCATAAAAGTTTGTACCCAGAGTTTTGAATTACTGTGTGTGTGTGTCAGGTGGCCAAGCCTTGTCATAATAGGAGTCATATATCACTTATCACAAGACCTCATTGTCTATTGGAACAGTGTTATATACACCTGTCCCTCTTTTTGTATGGTGTATTTTTATGCGATTTGAAGTAATGTGGTTGACAAAAGCAAACTAATCCTCTTTTTTATGCAATTGATGTTTTTTTCATCCAGGAAGAAACAGTTTATATGAAAATTTTTAAATTTAACTTTTTGTTAAATTTGTGTTATTGTTAAAAAAATCACTCTTTTTGTTTAAAGATTGGTTTTAAAGTTAAATGAACTTTTGATTTGGAAACACACAGCTTTTTTAAGCACAGTACAATACTGTGTGTATATAATACTATATGTTGATTTTGTTTCCTATGCTACCTTGTGTTTATTATATTTGTGTACAAATACAGTGGGTGATCAGTTAACGAACATAATCCATTCCAAGACTTTGTTTGCTATCCGAATTGTTTGTTAACCAATTATCAATTTACCATAGGTTTCTATGGGAATTTGATTAATTCGTTCTGGAGACCCCCAAAAATTAAAAAATATATACTTTCTTATTACGTTTATTCATATGTAACAATAAAAATACATATATACACAGTCTTGCATTTTTATTAGTCATGTTTTTTCCGTTTGTGGGGGTTAAAGAATCTGACCAATGTCGATTGCTTCTCTGTCTTCTTCATGATTTTTCAGAAGTAATTAATAGCATTGTAATTGTAGAGATCCCTAGGCCTATTAACCTCAACCTGGTTTGGATGCCATTTTAAGGCCGTTATTCTGACATCATCCCACTTCTTCAAAAGATCTTTAATAGCAAATATTGTCATAAATCTGCATTTTCAGAAGAAAATGTAAAAGAATCATTTCTGTCAGAAATATTATAAGGGCTGGAATTACAAGGGAGTATTTCAAAGTTCGGGGAAATACTATCCGATCAGTATATACTGGGTAGAACGTCAATGTCGATGTCTCCCGCACTCCAAAAAGTTTCCAATTGTTGCCTGAAGACAAAGGAAGACCAATCGGTATTTGTTATTTTACGTCGCTGCTTCTTGTGTTTGTTCAGTGAAGTGTTCGTTATCCAAACATGTGCTCATTGTCTGATCATAAAAGTCTTTCGCAAAAGTGTTCGTTATCCGATTTGTTCATTAACCAATCTGTTCGTTAACTGATCACCCACTGTAATGCTAATGATAAATGATTTTAAAATAAAAGAGCTTGTGTTTCTATCTATCTATAATTAGTTTATGGTGTCTGATGTCACTTTCCAATCTCCAGAAATCCTCTCCATCTCTATCCATATACCATTCCTCTTTAATCCTTTTTTCACTACATGCTAACTTCACTCCATCATACCAAGTTTGTCTGGTACTCCTTCAATCCCATTAGGTCTTTGATTCTCTCATTAGTTATTCTTTCATTTTTTGATATTCTGCACAATCTTCTCAATGCATCCATTTCAATCGTTGTTACTTTTCTCTTCCCCAGTCATTCTCCATGGCTCTGCCCCATATAACAGAATGCTTTTAACAATAGCATTATATATACTTTTTTTCTTGATCTTGTTATTTCTTCACTCCACCATATTCCATTTAATCTTTTAAGTGCTCTCTTACCTTGTGCTAATCTTGTATTAATTGTGTTTCTTTTGTAAATTTCTTATTTTTTCATTCCATTGAAGTTATGGATTCTAATAATCGTCGATGATTATATCGTTAGTTTATAGATGCTGGAAGAGGAGATCAGACCGAAGGTCTGGGTAATGTAATTGGCAACGCATCTGCATGGTAAGCAGGAGTTGCGGATTTGAGTCCCGCTTCGGGCCAATTCTTTTCTTCCAGTAATCTTAAATTATTATTTAAATTATTTAATTAATTTATAATTATTAAATTTATCAAGAGATTGCACCTAACGCCTAACTCTAATGCCAAATTGTCTATTAAATTAAAGTATTATAGCCATTCCTAACCCGACAATATTCGGCTTTGGTTGATGGATAGCTTTAATCGTATTGGGTATAGTAAAGATGTTTGATTAGTTGTGGATTCTATCAAGCACTTTTCTTAAGGATGTGTATTTTTTTTTATGCACTATTCTTTGGAATGTAGGCACTGTACAAAAGGAGGAATGGATGTTTATATAAAATTTATGTTTATAAAAAAGTAATTATACTTACAGGTTGTACAGGAGCTATAATGGTCTAGAAGAGTCACATAGGGCTTTCAAGCTGCAGTTTGGCCATTGTGTGTGTGTGTGATCATCAAAAACTATAAATAACAATTTAAATTGAAAATATGTAAATTGTTACATATAGTTTTTGGTGATCTTGACGACAGCAGTTTTTGTTTGTAATATTAGTCATGTGGCAAATTTTACTAATTTTTTATCATTAGTTTTACTTTTAGCAATAGTTAATGATTTTAATTCAGGAATAATTTTGAAGTATTTTTAATTACGATTCTACTGAAATAAAATATATTACAATTAAATATTTTAATGCAATTCATTTTTCTCTGTTTACAGTGAATATAGAAGATTTGTATTGTTTTCATTATACTGCATCAAATGAAGATTTTCCAAAATCAGCCGGTTGGGATAAGTTTGATTTACAAGCAGAATTTTCTAGAATGGGTTTACCTAATGAACATTGGCATTTAACAAGTATTAATAAGGATTATGATGTAAGATATTTTGTGTGTTTAGTAAATTAATAATTAATGAAATGTATAACATTTTAACCAAATATCTTATTCAGCTCCTTAAATAATAAATCATCCAACACCTGATGCTGAGAAAAACATTTCTATAAATCAGGGCTGTGGAGTCGCGTAAAAATCTACTGACTCTAACTTTTCCTTATCATTTGACTCCGACTCCGACCAGGGGCAGACTTGTTACCAAAAGAAACCTGGAAATTCTGATGTCATCACGTGACCTCAGAATAAAAGATTCAATAAATAGAGTTCTAATAAAGAAAGAGCATAGAAACTTTTTATTCCAAAGCTAAAAGACTTCTCTAAGTAATATATAAATATGTATTCGATAATTTTTACTTTTCCAGCTGTTATATATAACAGAGGGAAAGTGTAGCGCTTGGTAAAAAATGACCCCTCCCAAATTTTTACATTTTTGGACTTGGGACACCTTGAAATTTCGAGATATGCAAAAGATTCAAGGTTTTTTCTGTATGTGTGGATGTTAAACTGTGTGTGGGGGGCATGATTTTGTTCATCATGTTTGAAGCCTAATAATTTCTGTGATCAGAGTGGTCAGATGAGGACACAGGAGTTAGTTATTAAGCGTGAAAGTGGTTGAACTAAATCATGTCCCCATATACATTCTCACATCTTAGGCAAAAACATCTTAACGGGTTTGTAGAAATGGGCTGGCAGAATTACATTTTAATAAAACATAAAATTCATCTGGATACGAGTCCAAGTTTACTTGCAATGTCTAATCACCAGGAACAACTATTTCCATTGCAGAGACAACCTTTCTTTAGAGGCTATGCCTCTGCACGAATACCTGTGGACATTTTAAACTGTTTTACATATTCGTGCGGAGGCATAGCCTCTAAAGAAAGGTTGTCTCTGCAATGGAAATAGTTGTTCCTGGTGATTAGACATGGCAAGTAAACTTGGACTCGTATCCAGATGAATTTTATGTTTTATCTTAACGGGTTTTATTGTACTATTATAAAATGGCAAAAAAACTTACTTTGAGGGTAGAGACGAGTTTTATTTTTTTTCTTAATTTTGAATGCTAATAACGAGTAAAATATTCATTAAGAGAGATGACACACAACCACTTTCATGTCTTTACCCTGTCAACCTATAATTAAGAACCAAGATTTAATATTATTAATGCCCTTTTATACGCAAGCTACAGTGCCACATTTCGTTTCTTAAATTTTACCCATTCTGAGATATTGTTTAATATCTCAGAACAGAAAATAAAGAAATTAAACAAATTAGACGCCAATGCACACACGCACACGAATTTTTCCCCTTTATTGAGTTTTTTGAGGGGTTTGGGAGGTTTCCAAATGTGTAGATTTGAAAAAAAGAACTTGGAGGGTCAAATTTGACACAGTTTCAATACTTTTCCATTTTATATACGTAACAAGTTGGTAAGTAAAAAGGAGTCGGAGTCGGCAGATTTTTTGACTACCCCGACTCCGGCTAAAACACCAAAACTCCATGACTCTGACTCCACAGCCCTGCTGTAAATAAACATTAACGTTTTTGACCTAATATGATAGGCCATCTTCAGATGCACGTATTCTCGAACATATTTAACTTAATATTTAAACATCAGAACGTTTGAATACTTTTACATTTAAATCAAAATACTGGATAAAATAGCAAATAAATAATAAAATCAAATATAGTAAATGAACTAATACAATAACAATGTAAATAATGTATTAAAATAAAATAAAATAAATACACAAAAAATGCCATTAGGTATAAGGGCAGGTGTGGGCTAAGAATTTTTGCATTTTATTTTTTCTTTTATGTAGAACTTCCATGTGGAAGCTAGTCCCCCTGCATCCCTGGAGTTAATACAACCATCTTTTAATTTACTTGTATATATTTCAATTTTTTCTTTGTGCATTGCCAATAATGGAGAATGCATAGTCCTGAGGATAGTCACTTCATTCCATTTAACCACAGAGTCCTCTGCTTGTGCCATACAGGATAATACTGTGTTGCAGTGCCCTTTGTTAATATTGTATTTGTGCTCTTTAAGTCTGGTAGCCAAATTCCTTCTTGTGTCCCCAATATAATCCTTTTAAATTCCTAATTAATGATTTTTAAATGGAATTTTATATGCGCCTGCTTTTTCTTCTTTTTTAATCATGTCTTTATCATTTCTTAAAATACTGCATATATTAGGCGCTCTCTTATCATTTTTGAATGTTTTCTGTTGCTACTTGTTTCATGATGTTCTTGATGTTTCGATTATATGTGAACTTGGAGATTTTAAATCAATTTGCTTGTGTTCTTATTACATTGTCTCCTTCATCTCTTTTAATTAGCCCTTCCATTGTACTTTTTTTATATCCCAAGTTTGAAGCTGTTTCTTTAATTCTATTAAGTTCTTTGATTCTATCCAGCACATTAGAGCAATGTGAATACGCTCTTCTGATGAGTGCTCAAAAGGCGGACAGTTTGTATCTGTAGAAGTCGTTCAAGTTAGCCAGAATGCATAGTGGACTGTGTGTTAAATAGAAGGATAGGAAGCCTGAGATGCATTGAATTTAAGCTTGACAAGAGGTTGATGATAGAAGAGGAAATTATCTCAGGGTGCAGTGAAAATGTGAAGGATCTTTATCTATGACAGGAAATGATAGAATATGACATAAAGGTGAAGAGAAAATACATGATGACGAAAAAGGTCTTCCCAAACTGATGAAGGAAGAGTGGAAAAGTCTTTGAGAGAAATAAAGGTTGGTAATGAGGCTGTTGGAGCAGACATGATACTAGTGGAATTCCTGAAATGTCTGGAAGAAAGAGAAATGTTCCTTGTTACGTTGCTCTCGCTGTGTAACAAGATATATGAAATGAATGGCCAAAAGACTTAAGACTCAATAATGATCCCCTTAGAAAAAAAACAGGTGCTACCGGTGGTGATGTTCAGCGGGTTTGCACAGGTTTGGCTGAACCCGTTGTTAACATTTTTAAAGTTTTCCGAACCTTGTTAAACACACATAATGTTTCTCAGTGGTTTTGTTTCTTTTAAAAAATATATTAAAATATATGTATTATACTCTGTAACACTACTAAACTAGAGCCTTATACCCTGTTCACCTTGGTGCGACTGCCCTCGACCATTTCAATCTTGACTGAAACAAGATTCAATTGCGATCGACTCGAGAGTTTTTGAAACTAGATCCAGTCATAAGAGAGATCCCACAATCCCACGCGCGCAAGAAAATACAAGATGGCTGTGGAACACATATTGTAATAAAATATGTACAAAATAAACCATTTTGAACACTCTTCTTTATTATTTATCAAAAAGAATATAGTTCTGGTATAAACAATGTTAAATTTTAACTGACTTAATTTTGTGAACGCATCTTTTATATTTATATGGGTATCTTAAGGTCAGGTTTTGTGCTAATGTTGCTAATGCACCGTTTGAGCGGAAAAAAAATTGTTAAGGAAAAATTTTCTGTTAGCAAACCCTTTGTTAAATATTTTGAATATCACCACTGGGTGCTATGAAATGTGAAGACTTTAGGACAGTAAGTTTAATTTCAAATGCAGTAAATACAAGAATGATTAATAAAAGACTGGAAGGTAGGATAGATGAATTTCTTACAGAAAAACAATTTGGTTTTAGAAGAGGCAGAGGAATGAGGGACATTGGGATTAGTAAGAATGATTGGTGAAAGACTCTTAGAAAAGGACAAAGTATTTTGCATGCGCTTTAATGATTTAGAGAAAGCTGGAATAAACTTATGACAATGCTAAAAGAAAGAAAATTGGTACAAAATTTATATAGAGAACAATATGTAATTATGAGAATAAAGGGGAAAGAATCTTAGAGTGAAGATTGGCAGAGGGGTCAGGCAAGGTGGTTGCCTCTCATCTACCTTGTTTAATTTGTATATGGAAAGGATGATAGGTGAAGCTGAAATGATGTGGGAAGGAGTGAATATTGGAGGAAGAAAAATTAAGTTATGGTATGGATATGATATGGCAACACTAGCTGAAGCCCAAGATTTGAAAGAAGCAGTGAACAAGCTTGAGGAAATCTGCAAAAAAATATGACATGAAAATAAATGCACAAAAACAAAGATATTAAGTATAGGAGGAAAGGAAGACAGCTGGTAATTGAAGGGGGGAGAGTGGAGCGGACTTTGTTTTAGGTATCTCTGCAGCATTCTCACAGCAGACTGGAGATGTGAGAAAGAAGTTTGAATGAGAATTGGAATTTCTAGACAAATATTCATGAAAATGAGAACAATAATTTGTGGGACTTTGCTTTTTGGGTTTTTTTTTCAATTCCAGATCCAAAGTGTTTTTTATGGAATGTACTCTTGTACAGAGCAGAGACTTTGACTTTTCTTCTACTTTTCTCAGTAGAAGAAAAGAAACTGGAGACATTCAGGATGTGGATAAGGTGGAAAATGCTCAAAATTAAATGGACAGGTAAAGTATGCATTGAAGAAGTCATCAGAAGAATTAATGAGGAAAGAAGCTTGCTAAAAACAACACAGAAAAGAAAGGCCAATTGGATAGGATACGTACTCAGAGATAATGAATGGTTCAATGAAGACAATTATAGAAGGATCAATAGAAGGGGAAGGAGGAGGAAGATGCTGAACGATTTAAAGGATGGCATTGGATACAAGAAAATGAGGACCTTTGTGTGGAATAGAGAAAACTGGATATAGATGTGGATATAGCTCAAGAACCTTAATGATTGTCAAGCAGAGAACCAATGATAGTGATAAAAGTCTATTCTTTTATATTAAAATTTTTTCAAATACTAACAAAAGATATAAAAAAAACTATAATAGCAATTTAGAGTTGTTATATTTAAATCAATTTTTAAATAATCAGTGTTGAATGCTACAAGTGACATCAACAAAATAAATTTCAGAAAGTTAAATATAAACTTTGTGATGGTATATAAGTTTAGGACTTAATTTTTTCCAGAACAGTAATGTATATAAAAATGCATTGAAAAATGCATTGGCTGATATGCTAATTAAGTAATAGCAACTGTTGCCTATTTATTTGTAGTGTGTGGTTAATGTATATTCAGAAACTCCTGAATATTTTTTCAGAGCAATCTTGCAATTCTGTTTATTTTGTGAGATTCAAATTTGAACAGAAGATTGCAATTAAATTTTGTTTTAAAACTGGTCTTTCTTATACAGAAACTCTATAATTGGTACAAAAGTCATTTGATAATGAGGATCTGAACCAGTCTAATGTCTTCAGGTGATATTTGCGTTATCAGCACAAAACCTTTCTCACTAATTTCTAGCCTTATTAACTGGAGTACAAACGTTTTCAGCCATCTTAATAGGCCTTCCTCGGGTACACTGTGGAGCGTCGGTTAGAAGAAGTTTAAATGCTGCCAATGTTTACCCAGGTATCGTCTTACCAGTGACGTCATTGTCGGTGATAGGTATACGACACCGAGGGCGAAAATACATACTTTTGGTAAAGAAGGGAGGTGTGCAGATAGGATACTTGCTAAAGTTGGGGAAAAAGATTTTAGAGTAAGCGCGCTACGTACAGGAGATGCACAATCACAACAGGGGGTTAGTGGGGAGTGACGTCATAGTTGAGGCCGTAAATATTCAACGCTACAGTAAGAAGAGGCGTGCGAACGACCGTGGATGGGAAGGGGGTTACGATTAGAAGGTAGAATTGGAAATAAACACGACAAGTAAAAAAGCGCTAACGGTTGCACGCGGTGAGGGTGGGATGGTCTATTTATTTCAAGGGGTTGTCGAAGAATGATTTCCAAGCGGAGGAGAGAGAGGAGGAGAGCAATCCCTCAAAGACGGTTGTATCAACAGCAGAGATGCGGACTTGCTCTCCTCCGCTTGGAAATCATCCTTCGACAACCCCTTGAAATAAATAGACCATCCCACCCTCACCGCGTGCAACCGTTAGCGCTTTTTACTGGTCACGTTTATTTCCAATTCTACCTTCTAATCGTAACCCCCCTTTCCATCCACGGTCGTTCGCACGCCTCTTCTTACTGTAGCGTTGAATATTTACGGCCTCAACTATGACGTCACTCCCCACTAACCCCCTGTTGTGATTGTGCATCTCCTGTACGTAGCGCGCTTACTCTAAAATCTTTTTCCCCAACTTTAGCAAGTATCCTATCTGCACACCTCCCTTCTTTACCAAAAGTATGTATTTTCGCCCTCGGTGTCGTATACCTATCACCGACAATGACGTCACTGGTAAGACGATACCTGGGTAAACATTGGCAGCATTTAAACTTCTTCTAACTGACACTCCACAGTGTACCCGAGGAAGGCCTATTAAGAAGGCCGAAAACGTTTGTACTCCAGTTAATAAGGCTAGAAATTAGTGAGAAAGGTTTTGTGCTGATAATCTTAGAAATAGTTCTAGCTACATATGCATAGTAGTGATATTTGCGTTTTTGTGATCAAAGAAAATCAATAAATGATGACATGAAAAGTGAACATCTCATTCTGACTTTAACAAAAGAAAACATTCACACCATTGCAGAGTTGATGAAAAATGATTGTCAAATAACATCACAGATGATAACTGAGACTGAAAATTCCCAAACCTGTTGTTCATATTTTGAGGAAGTTGTGGGCTTATTTTGTCCTATGTCTTGTCAGCTAAACAAAGAGAAGTTCAAGTCATGTCTTGTCAGGACATCATTGTGATGGCAAATGCAGAGAAAAATTCCTTTGACAAATTATTACAGGAAGATGATGAGACTTGGTGTTTCACTTGTGATCCTGGAACCACATGAAAGCTTTCTGAATGGGTTGGTGAAGCATCTCTCACACCAAAGAAATTAAAATTTCAAAAGTCATGCATCAAAATTATGTTGATCTTTCTTTGTTTCTTTCTGATTTTATTTTACAATGGTTCACAAATAATATACACCAGAAGAGTGAATGCAGAGTATCATTAAGAAGTACTAGATTGTCTCCTGAAACATATTGAGCATATCATCCTGCCTCATTTGTCTTGAGATTTCACAATAATGTATCTGTTCACAAAGCTCCAAGAATACATCAAGTTTTGACAAAAATAATCCTCATCTCTATTACTCCCTTACTTGCCAGATTTGTTACTTCAAAACTATTTTATTTGTTAAAATTGGAACTTAAAGGACACAAATTTACAGATTTTCTAATTATCAAAAATACTGCAACCAACAAATTAAAGACAATCAGTAAAGAGAAATTTACTGTTGGTGTCTGAAAATCATAATGACCACCCTAAAGTGTACCACTAAATACATGCCAATAGTTTAATACACACGTTTCATTCAAAGTATATCTTTTGTGTGTTTTCATTTTTTTGTAATTTCAGTTCTCAAATTTATAGACAGTACTGTGTACATACTAGGAAAACAGTATTATGTATGTCAATGTTTTATCTTCTTTAATTATTATTAATTGGAAAATGTTAAATTTAAATGGAAGTTAAATGCAAAATTAGAGAATTGTTAATGTTTCAGTTTTTAATTATTGTTAATTATATTTATTATTGAATATTTTGTTTGCATGAAATAAATTATTTAATTTTACATTAGCCTATGTGATGAATTGGATGTGACTTTTAATTTTTTTAAAATGAAGAAAATTTAAGATGTAGATCATTCATATTTTATATTTACCTCATTATAAATTTATCTTAAATTAAATAATTTTCTATTATGTTTCTTTACTCAAATTTCAATGTAATTTTAAAGTATGTAAAAGTAAACATTAAATTTTAGCTTTTTTCATTGGTTTTAAATATTCAAATTCATTTAATATTTTTGAACTTTTGCCAGTGAATGAAAACAAAGCTTTAATTTATTTTATACCAGAAAATTTTTAATTAATTTCTTTTTCAGATTTGTGACACATATCCTAAATATTTATATGTTCCTGTGTTAGCATCTAAACCCACATTAGTGGGGAGCAGTCGTTTTCGTAGTCGAGGCAGATTACCAGTTCTTTCTTATTTGCACAAAAACATGGTAAGTTTTAATAAAATTTTTAAAATTTAAATTCATTTATGAATCTTAAAAATGACCTTAATAATAATAATAATAATAATAAGCATCAAACAGCTGGTTAGATCGGGGATGCCTCTTTGGGGAGACGGAAGGATTCATGATTGCCATACAGGATCAGGTCATAAATACTAAAAACTACAGAAAACACATACTCAAAGATACAACACTCACAAATGACACATGCAGAAAATGTCACATCATGCCAGAAACTATACAACACATCACTTCTGGTTGCAAGCTCTTGGCACAGACAGATTACTTACATAGACACAATCAAGTAGCAAATATAATACACCAAGAGCTTGCAAAGAAACACAAATTGGCAGACATCCACGAACCATACTACAAGTATATTCCACAGACAGTATTGGAAAATAACACGCACAAAATGTATTACGACAGAGCCATAATCACAGATAAAACAATTTACCACAACAGACCAGACATCACACTCATTGACAAACACAATAAAATCACATACATTATAGACATAGCCATTCCAAACACTCACAATGTACAAAACACATGCACTGAAAAAATTAGCAAGTACACAGAACTCGCCCAGGAAATCAGGCATCTGTGGAGGATGGATAGGGTGCTTATTGTACCTGTCGTTCTCTCCTGTACAGGTGTGATACCACACACGCTACACAAAAGCCTGGGAACATTACAATTGAGTAGAAATACATACATCACACTACAGAAGGCCACTATATTGAATACATGCCATATTGTTAGGAAATTCCTTAATACAGACACTGACACACACATTTAATTTTAGTTTTGTTTTGGTTGCTATGCCTTGACTCTGGTCCGGCATAGTACACAGCCACCGGTGTGTACCGAGTATAACCCACTAAACCCAACACATAATAATAATAATAATAATAACTCTCCCGTGGTCACCACCTGGTCATGGTGGGAGAGCCCAGTAATTTTACTGAACCATAGAGCAATGCATGCTGGAGCACAAGTTCCTGGTAGGGACACCCATGCCAGTAAGGTCTATGGAGAGAAATGAAGCTAAGAGTGACCATACCTACATTCTGTGGAGATATTTATCATGGTAGTAACCAGATCAAAGTGTGATACCGGCTCCGGACATCACCCGGGTTAACAAGGTCTGCGTTCGTGAGTTAGGCAGAGGCTCACGTTCGAAAAATAGGTCACAGTCTCCCTTGGTTACTGTGGCGAAAGCAGCACTTGCCCAAGCATCGCTATTGCAATGCCCTCAACAGATGTGAGGAATCAACCTAGCCTTGATGTTTTTCTGGAATGCATCCACAGACCACAAAGGCTGGAAAACCACACCAACAGATGAAATGGACATCAGAAATGAACGAGTTTATCATCCGTACGTACTACACAATCACAAGACTCGAAACAAACATGACAGCATACAGACAACTACACCATAGATTCACACAACAATATCCTCACCTCACTGTCACCGAACAAAGGGTTGTTGATCAAAAAGAACAATTATACACAACAACCTTATCCCACAAACAGCATTTGAACTTATCAAACAACAGGTTGCTGATCAACTACAATAATACCCCAAACTTACGCGATAAGTGGGACCGAGCGATAACCACGTAAGTCAGGGTATAATTTCACATATAAATACATACAAATAATTTTTAATTGGGGCCAGAGACTAAAGAAAACAATAATTTAGAAAAAAATGTTTAATAAAATCTTAGATAATACATATGTATAACAAATTATATTATTATACAATTTTTCACATTTACTTGATTATCACACCATAATTTTAGCATTGTTTCCATCTCAGCGATAATACCGTGACGTTTATGAATGATGCTTGAATTTAAAGATTGAGCATTTTTCACAGCTTCGAGAATTTTTTCTTTGCCTTTTATAATTGTTCTGACCGACAATTCCGGTAGATCAAACTTCTTTGCCAATTCACAAATTTTCATTTTTGTATCGAAGTCTTTAATAATG